CACAAATCTATGGTGACGGAGGAGGGTGCGAGTACACCTCCAGACCTTCATTCACAAAATAAACACCCACCGGGCATGGGCAGGGGGAGACGGTGCCATGGACGGGCCATGGGCAGCTGTGGTCCCTGTGTCAGAAGTGTCCCCACACAGCCCCAGGCGCCTGGGCACCAAGCTGAGAATGCCCTACGCCAGCGATGGCGAACCTTTTGAGCTCGGCGTGTCAGCATTTTGAAAAACCCTAACTCTGGTGCCGTGTCGCATATAGACATTTTTTGATATTTGCAACCATAGTAAAACAAAGACTTATATTTTTGATATTTATTTTATATATTTAAATGCCATTTAACAAAGAAAAATCAACCAAAAAAATGAATTCGCGTGTCAGAGGTTCGCCATCACTGCCCTACGCTGTCTGTTCCATCCCTGCCCCACCCTACTCCCCACTCCCACCCAGGACCCCACTGGAGAAGAGAAGGGAGGGTGGGCAGGAAGTGCTGGGCCCTGGATCCGGATAAGGGACAGGGCTGGGCTGAGCCAGTCTGTTTTTCGGGCCCAAATGGGAATGGTTTCACCAGCAGCTCTGCGGGGAAAAGGCCCAAACTGGCCTGGGAGTGGTAGTGGGGCTGACAGAAAGTAATCGAATACCCATGCGACTGTCCATGTAATTAGATCCTGCGGGAAGGCTGCATGGGTCCGTGGGGTTGGGGCGCAAGGAAGCCCATTTCCCCAGGGCTCTTTCTCTCCTAAGGAAGGGAAGCCCCAGCCAGGCCCTAATGGATGAGTAGGAGTTGGGAGGTGGGGGAGGAGGTGGGAGAGGGAGGATGCTGAAAATGTCAGGCCAAGGATACAACTCGTGCAAAGGCCCTGAGGTAGGAAGGCACATGAGGCTGAAGTGCAAAGAGCAAAGAAGACTGGAACCAAGATGAGGGCAGAGAGGGACAGGCTGCACTTCTAGGACCAGGGGAAAGCATCCCATACCCTACATGTAGTGAGAAGGGAGAGGGCAGTCTCCAGGGCTTCCGTATGGGAAGTGGCCAGGCAGTGATGTCCCCAGACACACTTCTTCCCAGGACATGTTTCTGGGCTTCCCATAGGTGGGGAAACAGAGTGTGTTCTACACCCTCCCATGCAGGGGCATCTCCCCAGGCTTGGGAGAGCCCTTTCCACTCCTGCCTCACCCTGGGAGCCAGCCTGTGGGCCCGGTACCAGGTGCACCCGGTGATTACCTACCCCGGGCCGAGGTCTGACTGTATGTGTGTGGGTGGGGGAGATCCACCCGGCAGCAGCAGCCAGATTGGCAGCCACAGCCCCAGATCCCAGTGTCAGGGCTCACTGCAGCCTGGTTTCCCGCCGTGTGCCTTTGTGAGTTGGCACAAAGCAGATGGAAGCACACAGGGCCCAGCGCACAGGCCCGTGGCTCCCCCACGCACAGTCCTGTGACCCTGGCCAGGAGAAAGGCTCATTAGGGAAGGTTTTCGGGGCCCCGGCCCACAGAGATGAATAGGAACCTTGTGTTTGATCCCAGAAACCGCCTCATCTGCCAGGAGAGCAAACGGAGCGGCTAAAATAGCCAACCTTGCAAGTGTGCACAGGGGGCGTAGCGGCTGTGCTGGGGGCGCTGACTGAAGTGGGAGGGTTGGCATGTCACTGCAGGGCCTGAGCAGTACCCAGAAGGGCAGGGTCGGGCTACGAGGCCAGGTCTGGCCTGACGGAGACCTGACCGCTTTTTTTTTTTTTTGGCCAGGGTCCTGGTGCTGGACAAAGGGACAGTCGCTGAATTTGATTCTCCAACCAACCTCATCGCGGCCAGAGGCATCTTCTATGGGATGGCCAGAGATGCTGGTCTCGCCTAACATAGATTCCTGGGTTTTCCTCCTGGCTGACCTGGTTTTCTTCAGAAAGGAAAAGGACAGACACCACCTATGTCTGCAGAATAAACCTGGTAGCTGGGGGCATTTGTTAGACTGTTGCTCCTGTGAAGCACCCTGGGGGAAAACCGTGCGAAATGCTGTAGATGAGGGAGCGAGGCTCCGGGGGTGCCTGACGTGCCCAAGGTCACAGATGGTTTGAGGCAGAACCCAGACTCGTGCCCGGATCTCCTGATCCCCAGTCTCCTGTTCTGTCCCCACGACACTGCTTGCAATCACTTCATGGAGCAACCTCCCTACCCCTAGATGACTTTTCATAGTTTCTATTCTGAAGTCTTTTTGTAAAAAAAAATAAAGCTTTTTCCTCCTGAAACAGAAGCTTGCCAGGTCAGGCCGTCCCTAAGAACCGAGTCCTGGACTCTGGAGTGCTGGCCTGAATCCATTAAAAAATGGAACGGTGGTGAAACGAAGCTGCGTGGTCACTAACACGCATCTCGGGGCAGGCTGTCTCCGCCTGGTCACAGGGGTGGGGGTTCGGGCCTCGGAAGGAGGCGGGGAGGAAGGGGGAGAGGCAGAGGTGGACTTCAGTATACATCTACATGGCTGGAATGATCTGAAGACTTCAGACCCGAGAGCTTTGGGCTGGAAATATTGTCTTCACAGCCAAAATTCACTGGGAAATTGCCAGAAGTTCCTGCTCTGCTGTGCAGATACTATAAAAAGGTGAGAAATGAAGTCCCTGAAATCTGACCTGAGGCCTCCTGGGACAGCTGCTGGGAACACCTCCGCGTTCATGTCATCCCTCAGACCTGTAAGCCCGCTTCTCTAGGGGCCGCCAAGTGCCTGGCACTTCATTTCCTCGCTCCTTTAGAAGTCTGTTCCAGACAGGTCTCCATAGCCAGTGCGGCTCGGAACCATCTGTCTTCCTCAGTCGGGCTGAGGCTGAATGTGGGAGGAGCGCAGGCAGCCCTGCCGATCCCTGGCTGGTAAATGAGACGAGGGGTGGGTTTTGCTTTCTTGCGCAAACCATCCGTTTATTTTCTGTGGGTCCGTTTACCTGCACAAGACCTTCTATTTGGAATGGATCTCTTCTCTGTTACTCAGTTTCCTGGTCTCCTCTTTCATTTCCGCAGTCTTCATCCTTGGTAAGATGTGAGTGGTTGTGGGTGACGGTTTGTCTTCTTCCCCCACCCTAAATGGTTTGCAGGAGGTGTGGAGAGGCCTCCTTTGATCTGGTTTTGCTCTGTGCCTTGGGGCAGCCTGTGCTACAGGACCATTTGTTAAAGGTTAACCACAATTTTTTTTTGGCAGGCTCTTTTGGCTCAGGATGTTTATGAGTGTATGGAAGAAGACTTCCATCCTTGTGATGAAGCAAGTATGAAAGCACAAATGCCCATATTCTTCTTCCTCTGGTGCTAAGAAAAGGTCTCTGCTATGCGCCCTGATTTATTAGATCAATTTGGCCTGACGTCTGCTTTGTGAGGCTCTAGCTGCCCTAAACCTACAGAAATCCAGGTTCCTTCAGCATCGTTCTCAGCTGAAGATATGAAGGTGTAAAGCTGTATTTTCCTCTCCTGTCTAGAGAGCTTGCTTCTGAGCTCATTGAGGCCAAGACAGGTGCTGACAGCCCGAAGGAGAGGCTCAGTTGTGTGAAGTAAATAGAATAATCAAAAAATGTAGTTAATAGGATGACCTCCATCTAGCTGGCTCAGCTACTCCGGGGAAATGAAGCTGACTGCTGAGAACTGGGAGGGAAGACTCCGCACAAGATATCTGTCTCCAGGCACCACTGACAGGGCGTGAGCACCACAGCAGCAGGATGCAGGAGGCTCAGGTAGGGAGCGGTCCCTCCCATGCTTCCTCCACAGCGTCTGGTCCCTGGGACTGTCCAACCATTTAAACCCACTATGGGTAGAAGTAAAGTGCTGTTTAGGAAGCCAAAACGAAAGAATATGGGCTTGGTCAGTTAATACTTAATTTTAATACTTGTTATATTTGAACAGTCAGCAATGCACAAAGAAAATTATCTTCAGTAAATGTTTGCCCACAGTATGAACACATGCTTTAAATATGCAGTGGAGGAGGGGGGAATTCACAGTAACAGAGCTAAAAAGAAAAACCCTGTGTTATAAATTACACAAAGCATATAAAAATATTTCTCTGAATGCATAGATTAAGACTTTAGACTCACCTACCAGCAACTGTGCAGTCTTATTCTACAGCCATACATAGAGGTCACTGGACCACAGAGGACTTTATAGAGGAGACCCATGTAGGGATCATCTCTCACCTGAGACGCCAGCCCCTGGCTCCCTCTGTTCCTAAGCCCTGGAAATGCCAGGGGCTGCTCCTCTGTAGGTCACCCCCAAGCGAGGCCTCCACTGCTTCTGAATCGCTAACTGATCTGGACGCCTGGAAGCTTTAACCCCAGTGACTTAGACATGAGTTAATACTGAATTTATTTCTTTCAGGACAGAACTAATCTTATCATTAAACTTTTTTTTAAAGGAAAGGGAGAGAGAGGTTAGTATGTCTAGATAAACTAGCTTCTGATTGGTTTGCAACACAAGGGAGGTTTCTCCTTTAAAGTACCTCAGAGGAGGGAGTAATAAGTAACCTTTACTCTGCCATGCAAACACTGTACAAGGGTAAGTCACCATCAGCAAGTGCTGAAACACATTCGGTCCTGAACAGTGACTCCGTGGAGCTGGCCTTGCGAACACCTCCACCTCAGCTCAGCATTGGGGCAGCAGCAGGAGGCCGTCATCTTAGCACCGCATTCTCTTCCCCTGACATCTTCTGCGCATTCTCTCTCCACCCAATGAAGTTAACACAGTTAGGAAGTGAAGTTTCTTTGGAAACTATAGGCACTATGGGGAAAAGCTTTAGGACAGCAGGGTGCCCTTCAACAGCTGGCTTCAAACCCCTGCTCTCCTGTTTATGTGCTCGTTCTCACATCTGAAGCTACACTGTTTGTTCAACAAGACAGTGGCTTTCTGTTCACATTAATGACACTGAAGGAAAAGAATCCTTGAATGCATTCTTCTAAAAATTATTATGCCATGTTCAAGGGTTTAATCAGGTGTGTACGTTTTGTTTTTCATTTTTCAGAACAAAGCCTGGTAGACTTGCAATTGCCTTTGTGGGGGGTATTGGATTGGTGGGGGTTAGGGGAGATCCCTAAGATGAAACAATTTGTTTACAAAAGCAACAGATTTCAGAGTTGTGTAAAAATCCTAATAATTTCAAAATAATCTTTATCTTTTATACAAAAATAAATATCCTAACTCCTTTAGCTCAGTTTCCTACAATAACCTTTAAAACAGCAACAGATTCAGTCTCAAAAATTGCTTTTCATTTCTAGTGGAAAATGAAAGTAGAGAACATGGACAGGCAATGTTTGTGCTCTTCTCATATGGTGCAATTAAACACGAAGATGGCAGGAATCACTTCAGTGAAAAAAAACAAAACAAAACAGAAACCGCGGTTGCTCTTTTGGAAGGCATCGGAGAGCCCTCTAGTGACCGCAAAGGGAAGTGAATGCAGAGGTGCTTGTCTAGGGCTTGGCAATGGCCGACTGGAGACAGAGGAGTGAGGAGTCATGAGTGTTTACAAAGGAAAAAGTGGGGGAGGGGAAGCTCTTTTGGTTAACAGCATATTTACAATTAGGTAACTATCCTTAAATACTTTTCACCTGAGTAACATTTATAAACATGTTATATGGAACCTCACAGCCACAAGCCATACTAAAACCCATCTGTCCAGCACCTGTGCTTTCCCGTTTTCCTCGAGTCGGTTCACATTTCAGGACAGTTGTGAGCGTGCATCACCAAGCCGAGTGCACCCTGGCCCTTCAGGTGCACTGTCAACAGGAGTGGCTAGAAATAGGCTCCACTCTCAGCACTGCGGACCGCTCTCTGACATGCTGCACGTAAAACACACTGGATATGGAACCGCCGGCTCCTGCCTCTCCAGACCACTTCTCCACTGTTCACAGCGTTGAGCAATCGGTTTATTGTGCACCAAGAGGCTTGGAAGAGTGGCACCACTGCTTGAGGGTCAGGGGCTTCCTACCTGGCAGGACAATGTTAGTGTACACGACTCAGTGGCACCAGCGCCCTCCAGCATCCAAGGCATTGAGATCAATGGCTTGTCCTTGGCCCAGAGGTGACGCGCTGTCACAATACTCAGTGATAAAAGTCCCTGTGGCATTAGTAAGTCAGTTTTGAAGCTCTCCTGTTGTAGCAAGGCCTTTCTGTCAGTGTGGATGCAGCACTTCTGAACAGAAAATTATTTTCACTTATTGTCAGAACCAGTTCCAGCTCTTGGAAATCTTGGAGCCGAGCAACATCTTTGTCCTAAAACAAAAATAGGTTAATCAGATTAAGAGGAGCCATTGTCTCTTTCTATTTGGTATGCTGTGTTGAACTGTTATCAGTTTCTTGGCTCATTTTAAAGCCTAAAAACAAAAACAGAAACAAAACCAAAAATCCCTGCGGCAGGCTGTCAGTGACAGTGCAGGAAAGGCCCAGGGCGTGAGCTGGTTGGAACAGTGGAACCCATTAGCCGCAGCTGCTATCGGATGAGCACACCTTGAAGGGAGAGGCAACGCAGGAATCAGTTTTACTCACGTGCTCTGAGAAGCAGAGCCTGATGCTCAAAAAGCCCAGAGATGCTGGGAGAACCACACATGCATCCCTGTGGATTTGCCCTGTAATTTAACCTCATTCTGACGGTGCACTAAGATAATCCTTATAGAGCCACACAGAAACAACTGAATGAAAACGTGAATGGTACGTCAGAATATTCTCTCTGGGATCCTACAACTTTCAAAAAGGCCACAAAACAAAGAAACAAACAAAAACCAAAAAGGCCAATGTCCCTATCGACCCAGTAGAGAGAAAGAAAGCTCAATGATTATATTTGGAAAACAACCCTTCTCTCCTTTTCTATTATCTTCATTTCTTCAACTATGACTCATAACCAAGGAGGAAACTGGGTATTTTCCAAATGCAGAAAGCAACTAACCACTCAGGCTTAGCTGGCCTTGCCTTACCTTTCTGACCAGAGTGTTGGGTAACTTTCTGATCTTCTCCACTTGATCTGGATTAACACCCAGCTCACAGCAACTCACTCTGAGCAATTCTTGGTAGGTGAGCTCCTGTCGGTCTAGTTCAATTTCAATGAAATCATTTTCTCGAAGAGATGGGTTTTGAATCCTCACCTTGAGCACCAGCTCTAGAAAAAAAAGAGGGAGAAATGTTAATGGATGGTTCTGGCATAATCAGCCTAAGTAATTTAAGATCTTTTCCAGAAGATGCTTGTGCCACCCAATGAGGAAAAGCTAGGCACCAGCAAGATTTGCTCAAGCCCAGTTCTGGCTCTTCTGGCAGTTCCCTGCACCTAAGCCTGTGTGTGCTTCTAAAGTAAAAGGGGGTGTGGAGGTGGGCTGGGGAGGGGACAACCATCACAACTGTACAGAGGATCATTTATTTCTGCTGCTGGAACTAAGAAGGTAAAGGTTTAAGAATGGGTTTGGGAGTTAAACTACATATAAGCAGGGAAGGAGAGAGAGGGGAAAAGAAGGCACAGGCAAGATATGGTACATAAATTACTCTAAAAAGATTTAACAATTGTGGATCTAAAGGTATTGATGAAATATGAAATTCCTTGTATGAAGTGCAGTAAAAGGGCAAAAAGCTACTAATAAAAATTAAAGTATAATTATGATGTGAGTACAGTGCACCTTACCAAGGGAGGAGCCTTGGCTGTGGGAGTGAACATCTTGCTGTACAAGAGAGTAAGGTCATGGTCCAAGAAGGATGTGACATGTCCGAGGGACACAAGAACTGGCTTAAAGAAGCGCCCTCTGGACAAATGTGACATCATTTGAACATCAAAGTAATAGCAATGGATTATAACCCAATGAATAGAATAAGAATCTGCATTCATGCTGATATAAATGGAGGAGAAAAGAAAGCCCTTCTTTACAGTAGAATACCAACTAGTAAATAGAGAATGACAGGAAATCATAATCTTCAAAATAATTGGCCTGAACTCTTTAAAAATATTGCGGTCCACAATGACAGAGAAAGGCTGGAAATGTTCCAGATTAGAGACTAAACCAACACGATAACTGAATGTTATGGGTGATCGGGGCAGGGGCAGGGGCAGAGGTGAGGGAGTGGAGGTGGCTATGAAGGGCATTGCTGAGATAACTGACAAAACTGAAGTATGGACTATGGATTAGAAAACAGTATTCTATATCACGGTTACATTTCCTAAATTTGATCATTGTGTTGTGTATAATTATGTAACGGACTGTCCTTATTCTTAGGAAATACACACTTAAACAGTTCAGGGTAAAGGGGCAAAAGGCAAAACAATTTGAGGAAAGGGAGTTCCTTACTAGTGTACTAGTGTTGCAGCTTTTCTGTAAATCTGCAATTATACTTAACATAAATACATTCCACCCCCAAAAGCCCAGGAAGGAAAGCTCTGGAGCTCTGGATTCTGTCTGCCCATTTGCAGAGGCGGTTGCTGACGAGGAGTTACCTTGCATATTAAAAGGAAACGCTCCAGTGAAGAAAAACGGCTGGAATGCTGGCGCTGGTCCTGCGTATGCCCCATTTTGAGGCTCCAGAGACACTGGTGGCTTGGACGGGACGGGAGAGAACAGTGATCGACTCTGAGTCACGGGTGGCTGACAAACAGGTTTTGTGCTTTCCGGTGTTCTGAGGATAGCAGAGGGGGCAGGCACATCCCCATTCTGCACCAGCGCCAAAGAGGTGTGGTCCCTCGGAAAGGCCCCCAGCGGGGGAGGGTCCCCAGGGGGGAGCAATGCAGGGGAGCCGTCTCCAGGGGGCGAGGCAGGGGGTGTGGCAGGGGGTGTGGAGGGGTCCCCATTCTGCAGCGGGGCCGAATCCTCTGCCACGGGGGTGTAGAGAAAAGGGAAAGCTGGACTGGCCAAATAGTTGGGAACAAAGGGCAGGTCTGACTCCTTCATCTGGGGGAGGTTGTCACCATCATCATCCTCTTCCACTGAAAAAGAGGAAAACACAGAACCTAGACATAGTCCTTCAAAAATGGGCAAGAATCGAGTGTCCTGTGAAACCTAGTGTGCTTTGGTATATGACAGAATGCCATGGTCAGTGTTCTGTGCCTCTTCAAGTCAGAAGAAAAAGAATATTTCATTAGGTTTATAATTACCGTTTTTATCATCTTAAATTTTACAGATTAAAAAACTTATAATGCCTACCTTCCCAGAAACAACATAGAATTACTATCTTGGCACAGTCATACAGTCTCTGCTTTTAGAAGCAGACTGGTTGCTTGAATCGCATAAAGAATACAGCCAAAAAAAAAAGAAAAAAAAGAATACAGCCAATAATACTACCCGTCTTAAATCAGTTTGACAAAATCAAAAGCTGCCCCAAAACTCAGACTCACCTCCCATTATCTTTCTGATTTCTCTCCTTGACGTTAACTGGACTGGCATTTCTCCTTTTGTGGTGAGAATCTCTTTGTCGGCTCCTGATTTTAACAAGTAAGAGACCACCTGACCATGATTGCGTTTACAGGCCCAGTGTAAACAGGTCCTGTCCCAAAAAAAAAGGGTGGGGAGGGAGAGTAATTTAAAAAGGAGAGGTGATTTGGGATTTCAAATTCTACACGTTAGCAAATAAATATATGCAAGAGTTCAGCTAGGACCAGGAAACCAGGCTAGTAATCTCAACTTTTCTTTACAGAAAGCAGATGATCAAATATTTACTATGCTTAAAATTTATTTTTAAATTTCATTGCTGGCCCTCGGGAGAAACTAATTTGTCCTAGGAGCTTTCATTTCAATGGCTTCCAGAAGGCTGACAGGCTGGCTGGCTGGATAACTCTAATGGTATTGCTGAGTGTTAGTCTATCAGTATTGCTCATTTGATTGTCCCAATCTCTGTAAAATATATTTTTATGTTGGTACATTTCTGTTTTAGGGACTATAGAAACTGGCTTCATATGCATTAATTATCACTTGAAGATTAAATATTATTAGGCAAATAACCATCTTGTATCTACAAGCTTGCTCTGCCACTAAAATGATTACTAGTAATACAGAATATTCCTGTCTGAATCTTTTCCTCTTTTTCTTTCCTTCACACTCACAAAAAGAAGGGTTTCCAAATTTCCATTTTTAAATATATTTTTATTGATTTTAGAGAGGAAAGAAGAGGGAGAGAGAGAGAGAGACATCAATGATGAGAATCATTGATCAGCTGCCTCCTGTATGCCCCTTACTGGGGATCGAGCCCACAACCCAAGCATGTGCCCTTGACCGGAACTGAACCTGGGACCCTTCAGTCCACAGGCCGACACTCTCTGAGCCAAACCAGCCAGGGCTAAATTTCCATTTTTAAGAATGTTGGCTTCTCTTGTTCTCTCCAGAAGGCTACAAACACACCCTCATCTGCTTATACGTAAGGCACTACAGATTTTAATTCCTAAGGCATTTAAAAATGTACATCAACCACCAAAATTTCAAGAACTCTTCTACCATAGTCATTTAAGTAAAACTAATTCTTTAATATTGTACACATAGGGGTTATGTACACACTGAAGGGCTGTTACTTTAACACTGTATAGAAATATAATTAACATGCCAGCAAATACTCTATCTTAACAGAAATGATTCAGAGCTACTAAATTCATACCCAATTGTCAAAGCTGAATGATATCATGGAAGGAAGACTTTTTCCCCACTGTTTTGAAATGTCCTCATTCACCAACTCTCTAATTGAACTGAGATAAATACCTTTAGTGCTTATAGGCAAATACAGGTATGGAAAAGAATAGAACATATGTACCATAGTGAGAATTAGGTCACTCACCTGAGAAATATAATATCTAGAAAGTTCGTTTGGTTCCAGGAAAAAGCTGATTTTACCCTGGGTACCCTGATATCTATGACTTACAGAAAGCTAGCTTGTCTGTCTGGCTGGGAGCAACTCCCCTGATGTACCAGAGTGGCATTCTACAATAGATTCATTAGAATTAGATTATTCAAGTGCCTTTAAGGTGCACTCCATGACGATATGACTACCAATTTGGGAAAAATAAGGCCAGAGTCTTGATCTAGACTTCTACAACGTAAGCTCCACGAAGACAAGGAAGGGTCTACTTAGACATACAAGTGCTTAATTAATATTTGCTGAGTGAGTGAACCAAGAACAAGGTAGGTGTTGCTAGTAGAAGGATCCAGTGCATTCTGGGCAAACTGCAGCCAACGGTGTGTTTGTGTGTGGATGTCTGTAGCATAGGCTTGGCAAGTAAATAATTATAATAAGCAGCTCTCAAAAATGAATGGAGCATGATGAGAAAAATATGTTCCCTTTGGAAGTAAGTGCTCACTTGCCAGTAGTAAATCATGACAAACTTGTTCATGACAAGCTTGAGAGGAAGGAGGTAATGGGCTGCCAGTGGGTCTGACACTCTGGGACAAACCAGCTAACTAAAGTAGCACCTGTCAAGTGGGGTTAAGGCAGCACGGCTCCCCAGCCCTGTGCCCTAATCACCTACAGTCCAGACCTGTGTGGCTCTGGGCAGTCATAACTCAGAGCCACTGCAACCAGGCCATCTTTTCAGATTCTTCCTGAGCCATTATCCTTGCTCCTTAAAGCCAAGGGATATGCATGACATTAAATTATAGTCGACGTGGGAGTTCTGTCTTTGAACCTCAACTCTAAGCTTTAAATTTGCAGTCAGAATATCCCATTAGTGCTGGGAAGTATTTCAGACCAGAGGCCCTGGGCATCATTCATCAGTGCTGAAATTGTGGTTACTGAGCAACTAAGAACTGAAAGCAGTAACCATTCTGCTAGAGAGTAAGTATCCGGTTTTTTCTTAGGTAATCTTTATCCAGCACACTGCTCATAAAATAAACACAGATATAATGCTTCCCATGCTGGACACTGGTCTAAAAGCAATACAGATAGTAACTTATTTAATCCTCTCAACAACCCACGAGTTCAGTACTATTATCAATGTTCCTTCCATATTACAGATGAAGAAACTGGGGCAGCCAGCAAATAAATAAGCAAAACAAACAGTATGCTTGCTATTCTCAAGCGTTATGAAGTGTTATAGGGACAATAAAGCAAGGAAAGGAAGTAGGGGATGCTAGGGGCAGGGGAGGGGTATGGTGCAATTTTAAACTGAGGAGCCAAGGAAAGGCTCACCACGGTTATATCTAAGCTGAGACCTGAAGGAGGAGAGGAAGCAAAGGTATTTTAGATGGAAGGGAAAGCACAAAGGACTTAACTCAGAGCTGTGCCTCATGTTTCAGGAAAAGCAAGGCCAAGAGAGCAGAATGAAGAAAGCAAGGGGCAAATGCAGAGATGAGGCATCGAGGTAGGGAGGATCGGGGGACAGGAGTAGAAACTGTAGGACTCCGTGGGCTCTTAGAGTGAGATGGGAGCCATTAGAGCAGCGGTTCTCAACCTGTGGGTCGCGACCCCTTTGGCGGTCAAATGACCCTTTCAGAGGGGTTGCCTAAGACCATCCTGCATATCAGATATTTACATTATGATTCATA